CAAATTACAAGTAATACAGAAAAATAAATTTTACATTTGACTTCCAATTTAAATAAAGGTCTTTTCTGATATTCTGAAAATGCCCAACATTTACTTCAAACTTTAAAACCATATGATGAAGAAACCAAGAGGTCGGTGGTCTAATGATTCTCAGAAACAGACCCCATGAAGGAAATCAGAAAATGAAAGGGAACTGCTCCCTCCAAACTTTCCTGGGGTGAGACACTGCTTATGGATCCGTGTTTCCAACAGCTGCATGTATGCTGTAATTATGATGACCCAAGAAACAGAATGCACTGACTAATCCACTGACTTGATATGGTTAGCAGGGCAGGCCATTTGAGGATAATTTTTTTAGCTTTTTAAAACATTTTTATTAAGAGTTAAGTAATGTTAAATTTGATTATATGCACTAATAACCATGATTTCTTCTTCTAAACATTCTGCCTAGAGAGAGATACGGATATTCAAGAAAGTGATACATGTTCTTTAAAGGATAGCAGGTAAGCCAAAAATTAGAGAGAGGTCGACATTTATCACACTGACCCTCATGGAGCAACAACAGATGGAGACTTAACCAACAGGCAGGCAGTGAAGATGGTCAAAGTATTCTACTCCACTGGGGTGGGTAACACTGTCCAGCTGGGTCATCTCCATGATGAACATGACCGACCTGGTAAATGCCAGAACTTTGCTTTGCTTGATGGCCTTAGGGTGAGCATATGTTTTATTTTGCACACTTTATTACCTGTTAAAGAGACACAGACCTGAAAGCTGGTATGGCTTCATATGACAAACATTCTGTACTCTATAGACAGTCTGAAGTGATTAAAGTCTCATTCACTAGTTGTCCTAAAGTGCAATTGTTCTCCACTCAGAAAAACAAAGAAACAGAACCTGCTAAGATCTACAACTTCCCTCCTCCTCCAGATCAAAGGAAACTCCAAGGCAAAAAAATAAATATTTGGAAGTAAAATTCAGGAAAAGTCAAAATAAACCAAAATGAGATTAATGTTCTCTGATTTTTTTTTTTTTTCCCCAAACCAAGCTGTTAACCCCCTGTTCAATTGAATGTACTGGCATATGTTAAGGATCTATAAAGCTCATAAGAGTTAAATATGTTGAAAATACAAATACAAAGGATGACTTCCTATCTCTAAAATCTGTTCTTCCTGCTCCTAATGTGACACATTGTGCAACTCCAATAAAAATATTTACAGAACAGAAATGTAATGCTCCCAGCTCAAACACAAGACAGTAACTGGTAAGTGAATAGTGAGATTTTTCTATTAACCTTCAAATTTCATGAAAGGCCAAAATAAATTTAAGAGCTGGAATCCCATAGCTATGGGAGTCCTGAATAATGCCGAGTGACAGAAAAGGTATACTAATATGGAAAGGCGACATGGACATCGTGAGCATTTATAAACGTGGTATACGTTAAACACTTTCCCGTGGGAAGCACATCTTGACAGGGCTCCGACTTTTATAACCTGATCTAAGGGCTCAGAGCTCCCCCATAAAGATGACGCAAATGCCCTAATGCACAGCACATTAAGGCCTAATGAAACAGCAAGGTTGGTGTTTAACAACTCAGGCCTCCATTCAGCAATGCTTTAAATATAAGCATAATAAAGCAGATTAAAAAGAAAGAAGCTGTAATTACTTTTTGAAGAGCTCAACCTCTCGTCCTATTATTGGTCTATACGTGAGCCTCAAAGTCTGCATGCTGGCAATAAAAATTACATGAAGGGCTTCCCAATCATGTCACATCTATTATTTTAAAAAATGTAAGCATAACAATTGATAAAACATGCAGATCACATTTAAAAATTGAGAAACTAACATCCCGGTAGAGTCAAATAGCTCTAAGCTAGCCATTGTATCTTTTCTTGTTTTTCTTGCTAAAGAATTGACATCCTTCTGATTTCAGGGCTGGGCATGCTACCTCAAGGTATGGTGGGGGGGTGGGGGGCGTTTGAGTTCAACACACAGGGAAGGAACACTGTCCTGGTTTTATGATGCCCCCTTTAAAGTGACCTCCATTATCCAACTGGGGCTCTATCTAACTCTGTAGTATAAAGAAACCTTGTTATTTGACACTATTTTTTTAGAAATACCTAATTCTTTGACTTCCTTATTTGTAATAAAATTTACACAGAAGTGAATATTGTCAGCACAAGTATGTCTAAACTTCCAATTATTCCCACAAATACATGTCAAATAATCTGGACTTGGAACTGGAAATCTTAACATTTGTTTAAATTATTTCTTTTTCCCAACTGTCTATCTCATGTTTGTAACCAAGTCAGTTCAAATTATTTAAAACCATCCATGTCGAACCAAAATATAGATCAAAGCCACAGAGTTCTTAAGTCCTCTCCTTCTGGCTTCTGTTTCTTCTTTCTTGGCCTAAAATGTCATAAATCTATCATTAACCAACAACTGTCCTGAATATTTAAAAAAAAAAAAAAGCCAGTTTAATTGAAAAAGATTAATGAATTGGTCATCTAATACTTCAATTAGCTTAAATTACAGATTTATATAAATAATTCCTGAAATAGTCTGACTGATTACTGGGCTGTAATACTCATATTTACCAACATCATTTTATCAGAATACACACAGCCATTAACTTCCTACAAATCTGACAGAACCGCGTTAAAGAAATTCTATAGTCAGCATTTTCTCCTGCACAGCCTTTAGTCCCCACACAGTTCAAGAGCCAAGGAAAGAAAGCTCTCACATGGCATTTCAGCACAAACATGTGTGGGTAAAAAGGGGAATTTCAGATGTGCTTTTATTCAGCTTATGCATACGGGGAAGCCGCTCACCATTTATTTCAGCATAAAAATATTAGTAAGTTACTTATCTTCAGACATGTTTCTGCACCAACATCTAGTGTATGGGCAAAATACTTAAGATCAGCATTTGGCCCAAAAGTATCTTTAGTGCTCTATTCCTAAATCGAACAAAGTTAACTCTCTTTAGGCTCGTTTCTAGATCCAATTGTTTCTTTGAAATAATCATCTGCTTTTTTCCACAGACTGCTTTTTTCTATTTTTAGCCCTATTATTTCTCTGAAAAAAAAAATTGATCTTAACAAGATTATCTTCCTGCTTGCTTTTTCCTACCACTTTCTGTCTTCTTTACTACAGCACTTGGTAGACAGCATAGTCTAGGATCAGCTGTTTTATTTCTCCTTCTATTAGTTCAAACTCAGAGAGCTCACACATCTGTTTTATTTCTAAAATCTCTGCCCAGGAAAAGTGTCCAGCTCATTCTACCCAAACATAAACTTTACTATAAATAACTAAGAACCTAACAAATAACTGTTTGGGGGAAATGGAAGTGTGTTTAAAAAATCTGAATTCTTCCAAATCATCGGCCTCAGTAATCTCGATTTTAGAGCCTTCCTGACAGCGCAGATCAGCTTCCCTCAGAAGTTGTCCCCAGAGTGAACAAACTGAAACTCCTGCCGGAAATCCAGGTATTAACATCATATTACTTGCTAATTATAAAACACCATTTCACATACTGACATTATTCACTTCTAGCCCTTTTATCTAAAACACGTATTTGCGTTCCAATCATGGTTTGACAGCAGAGTGTATCTGACATAAGACAGTGAAATGATCTTTAATAAGACAGCAGTTCAAAGCATGCAGCTTTCATGCATAATAACTATGTTGGCTTAATCTGCTGCTCCACAGAAATAATTCTATTTGTGGAAATTCACAAAGTAAGACGGAATTTTTAAGAGAGGTCTACAAAGATGAAACTGGCTTTTTAAGAGTTCTTTCTATCTCCCTTAAAGTGATAAGATTGCTGTTCTGACATTTTTAAAGGCTTGGAAATTTCTCTTCTGATTCTTTTTACAAGGACTGCAAAATATGTTCCCTACCTGTTATTTACAATTCCTTTGCCTGCCTTTCTTAATTGACACCAGGTCAATAGAGAGGTCTAAAGCAAATGTGCCAGAGCTATTGAGTTGATCAAAATGACTGATATTTTAAGGGATTGAGGAGGTCAAGTAAGAATGATGTAATTTCATTAGTTCCCTGGTACTTCTTCTAATCATTCCTAAAGAAGGTTAATATTACACCTAATATGTTTTGAAATCCACTGGCCGAATAATACAATAAAAATCTACAGACTAAAACAGAAACTAATACACTTTCTCAAGCTGAGCATGAGCTTCGACTATGCTAAAATTGCCAAAATGAAATGAATACATTTCTTTAGAGTCAGTTCTGCATTTCATTCTATTTGAAATGGTAGATTTTTTTTTTCATTTCACATATGCCATAAACTAAAGACAGAAGAGTAGATCAAAAAGGTATGCCACTTTTAATAAAACCAGAAATCTAAATTACTGCTAAATGCTTTCATAAATTACTATTTTCCTTAAATGCAGAAAAGAATGCTTTATTGTCCCTATAATCAATATAAACTTTTATTTCCAAATTTTCATTTGCAATTATGTTCCTTTTTCTGGAGTATACCTCTGCAACTGTCAATATGACCCAAATCTAGTCCAATTGGATTGACATTGAGTATAAAAACCAAATCCTAATGCCAGACACAGGGAAGATCCTCATTGAAGGAAAGATGATAGTGAAAGATTTCTAATCCAAAACTAGAACAAAGCATAAACTACCATCATGTGGAACCATAAAGATTAGTGGCATTTTTGGAAGACTGGGAAAACATCAAATTACCATGAAATATTTCCAGAAATACGAAGCCTAGCTAATCCCATGAAAAGACTTTTCCCAACCTAATAGAAATACTGAGATTATTTTCCATGATAAGAGATGAAAGACACCTCTGGATACACATTTGCCTAAAACAGCTATGGAATGTGTCCATCTGTCCTGCTGAATCTAGCAGGCCACCCCTTTGGTATCGGGAGCTTGATTTTAACACACGTGTACGAATTCACATTTCATTACTACTCGCTTTTTCTATAAGAAGAGATAACAGCACAGAGCACCAACCTGCACATCGTAGGTCCCATTTAGTAAAACAGGCCTTGAAGAATTGATGTCCTGAAGCACACCAGAGAGCACGGAACGGTTGACCTTCTGGAAGTCTTTGGAATGGCTGAACTGCACCATGTTGTGAAGGGCCAAGATTTTGCTGTCCAGCTCAGCATCCTGCCTGGTGCGGTTATGCAGTCCTAAGTGATACTTTCGGAAGTGCTTAATCAGATCTGTGGGGTCATTGCCGTAGTAACCATATCCACAGATATTGCATTTAAAGTCCTGAAGCTCTGGAGACAGAGGTGCCGGGTCTGGGTTGTCATTTACCAGTAAGTCAGTTTTGGATTTATTCAGTCTTACACCCCCATCTGAAGGCACTTGTGGGTTTTTTGAGGCCACTGAAACTGGGCTTGAGCCTTGACAATTGGCTTGACCACTCTGCGCTTGCCCTGTTTCCTCGGTAGCCTTTGGTGACATCTTATGATCTTCCTTTGTCTCCAATGAGTCCCCTGATGGGGTGCAGGCCATATCTTGCGGGTCATCTGCCTCTGCTCTTTGAGGAGACTTCAAGGGCTCACAGACTCCCCCAGCAGCTGGAGATGAGAAAGCCAACATATTTCTATCTGTCACCTCATCATGTGGATGCGAGGGAAGGTTTCCTCCTTTACTGGGGCTTTCATAATTGAAGCCAGCCTTCTCGCTCAGGACTGAGCTTTTTAAGCCCTTCTTGATGCTAGAGGATGGATCTTGGCCATGCAAGCTATGTTCCTCCTTATTATTCAGTTCTGCTGCATCACTCTGATCCGTATTTTCTGACATCTGATCTGCAGAAAATTCTTTGTTCTTTCCAGATACCTTGCTTTCTGTACCTATAGGCTCCAGGGTCTGGCCCTCGCCTTCGCTAGCAACGTTTCTCAGAGGGGGGTTCTTTTTCCGGACCATATCTGTAAAAATGCAAGGAAAAGAACATGCAAGGTTATCTGAAGCTGCAGATACGTGATCTAATTTAGAGCATTTTACTTATTCTATTCAAGGTTTCATAAGGTGCATATAAAAAAACTTCCTCTAGGAAAAAAGTGTTTTAAAAATAGCAAAAAACGGAGACTAAAGCAAATATTTACACTTAGAATTATTTTTGTCATAGAGTGGCTCATTTACTATTTTTAAATGGTTTTATGAATACCAAGATATTGATTATTACTAGCTCTATTTTTCCTATTATTCTTGTCTGCCAAACATTTTTTGCTCACTTTCTTCGGTTATAGTTGATATATATATATATATATATATATGCTTATTTATAAACTTTATATAATATATATACACATACTATGTTTATAAAATAGATATACATGTTTATGTTTACAGAATATATATTACATGTTTATTTATATGCTACGTATATATGTATATAAACAACATAAATTGGAACTCAATATTGTTACACACTGTGCAACCAAGATATAAATATAATTTCAACCAAAATATCCTCATAGTCAAGAAACAGAAACAGCATGTTATAAACAATGTGAAAACTGCCCTATTACTTTCAGGAATGAAGGGTAACAAATGTTTCATCTCTGTCCTACTGATAAATCTCTTTAAGCCCCATTTGGAGACCTTGCCTGAAAGTCAGGAGGAGGACCTGGGACACATCAGAGGGACCAGGCTGGGTGTACTGGGGACTCTATCGAGCATGATGGGGAACCTCACTAAGTCCTGGGTTCTTACGCCCAGCCAGGTGGAGACAGTACCAATCCCACCAGCAGGAGCAGACTGGAAGATGACAGAAGGACAATATTAAATTGAACCATATGACATTGTCATTTGTACCTCAGCATGGCAAAATGTTAGCTTCCCATGGCTCACCTTCACGTGCTAGCTCAACTAGGCCTTTCAAGTTCATGGCATCAATGAGTACAGTCAAAATAAGAGCACTGTGACAAATTCCTCTACCAGAGTCTAATGAATCAGAACTTCGGTATGAGGAGATAAGAAACAATCTGTGTTGTGTCAATAACAAAAAGGCAGTCACAGAGGCTCGAGGGAGAACTGAGGTTCATGGCTCATGTTCCTTAATCCCCCAGCTGAAAAACTGCAAGTGCTGTGTGAGTTGTCACCCAAATGTCGCTTAGGAAAATCCACCTGTGACTGACTAATAAGACAAGGCTTCTTCACTGGCCGACTCTGCCACAGGGGCAGATTTAACATTTAGTTACACCATGATTACCCACGATGTCCTGAGAAAATCCAAATTAATAATAGGTGTCAGTTATTTTCATCTATAACTTCTCACAGGTACTAAGAAGCCACCCTGGCTTTGGATATATGGGTGTACCTTCATTTCCGAAGAGCTGGTCAAGCAAAATTTTTGTAATATGAATCACTGAACCAAGATATTGCCCTCGTTGAGTATAAAGAATTGTTTCCAAGGTCAAAATTCTAAAGTCAAAATAAAGTCATTATTTAGTCAAAACACTAAATAATGTCAAAAAGTGTAACTGTGCTTAAGAAAGTACACTCTCCTTTTTGTATAACAATAACATTAGTCATTAAATATACACAGAATATGTATATGTTCCTCTTGGAACAACAACAACAACAACAGTTATAGGATGAAGGACTGAAGTGTCAAGTACAAGTGATGCTCATGTCACCTGCATGACCAAGGCAGGGAGTGGGGAGGGAAAATGGTCTTCACCTTGGTGTCATTACCGTTAGTCCTAAAGTAAACTAAGCTAGGTAACCCTTGTTAAAAAAAAAAAAAGAAAAACGGGTAAACTTTTTTTTTTTTTTTTAACGTTTGCATTTTAATGTCTCATCTGTTGATGTCGACATTTTGGCAGACATCTAGTCCTCTGTCAGAAGTGACAGAACTTGGGGACTTGTACCTACACACAGAAGAGTGCAGGGCAATTTTACTGGTAGTCAACAAAAGGAAAACTAAAAAAGAAAGAAAAAATAATAAAATGGAAGTTTAAGAAATCAGTTATCATTTAAAATACAAAAAATAATAATAAAAAAATATAAGAGCTTGAGTAAAAAAAAGTGCTATTCTTAACTTGGCCTACATTCTAGTGTATAGAGTATCAGCTATTACTACACATAAAACTGTGATGATTTGCTGTAGCACCTCCTGCCTTTCCCTCCTGAATTTCCTGTTTGTTTTTTCTATTACACATGAAGTCTTTAGTAACCATTGCAATTTAATCTTTTCTTGGACAAATACTGAATAACCATACCATTTGTATTTCAACATTTTCTCCTCACTGTAAGTTAACCCTAACGATAGTGCCACCAAAATGAAATAAGTAAGGTTACACAGAAAAAAACAAAAATCTATATGAAAGGCAGGATCCATAAGGAAATGAAAATGAAATAATCCAACTCATTAAGATTACCCTTCCATTAAAGTGAAGAGAAAATGGTTTCTGCCCATATATTAATGTCAAGGTGATTAGAAAAACAGCAACATTTTACAGAGCAAGGAACTAAGATAAAATACTTAAAAGTGAATAGACATAAATACGTTAATATTGAAAAATGTAACTTGTTTTTCAGAACAAAAAGAATTAGAACTTGCTGATTTACTGTTATCATGCAGAAAAGTAATAGGTCATAGTTTAAAAGGTACTGAAGCAGCAACTAAAGCAACTAAGAGAAAATACGATTAAATTATCATCCTTTCAAATTTCAGTTCCCTCTTCCACCAAGAACAGACCTTTAGAACCCATATGACTCACTGACTCCTTATACTGAATAGAGCCCTTAAAAATATACATCGCAAAGAATGTCAAACTGCTAAAACTTCAAAGAAGTATCAGAAAGGTCATTTGTGTTTTCTTTTTTGTTGTGGGTGGAAGGGGCATGTTCTTTTTAGTTTCTTTAAAAAAAATCATGGTTAATTTAGTTGACTATACTTTGAAGTAGTTATAGAAAAATAATTTTTTACAGGAATTATATCACCATAATTTTTCAGAATGACATATTATGTAAATATAAGCACATTTGCAATACTTCTAAGTGGAAGAAACTCCCCTAACCAGTCATAAGTTAGATATCGTAAGGCTATAGCCACCCTCAAGTTATTATCTTTAAGACAAATAACAGATTGCACGATGTTTTACTGTGTGCCAAGAACTTTTCCAGTTAAGATTTTCACTTGAAAAAATAGATCACATACTTGTAAAATCATACCCAGCATTGACTTCATAAGGCATGTGGCTTTAGAGTGCTTTTTACAATTATTAATTCTATTAGTCAACTAGCAGGAGGCTAATGCAATTGTCTTAGAAGACGCTCTGAAGACACAGAAGACATTTTGAGAGCTGATCTGTACATCTGCAAAACAAAACAAAACAAAATATTTCCTTCCTAAATGATGTAAATATGCTTTAACGTATCACACCTAAAATACATTAATATGCCAGCACCACAGGCTGCTTCAAAGATACCTAATAAATGCATGAGCAAACCTTGAGCAAGTTCTTCCCCCACCCTGGGTTTTAATAAAACAGCAGGAAAAGGAGGAACGTGATATAAAAGATTACAGAAGTCATTTTCACAACAGACTGTGATGTATGATTTAACCTCTAAAACTCCCAAACCTTAAGGACCAGAATACTTACCTACACTGGGGTGGGGATAGATAATCTTAATTAGTAAACGTGGAGGGGACATGCTTCTGGAAAAGATACCAGGTGTACCTACTGATATTATACAGTCACAGCTGAAGACAAGAAGTGGTACGCATTGCAAATCTCTTCCAAACTCACATCAGCAGTGTATTTACCATGTGGCTGAGAAAGGAACTATTGCAATGCCATCAAGAATTGGGATCTGTGTAAGCCTTCCCAACAGTTACAGAAACATTACACACCGTAACACGGGCTATCTTTTTAGCTAGTTTTACTAATCTTCTATTTTCGCTCTTGACAAATAACTTCATAAAACTGTGATTGAACCAGCTTTCAACCCTCATTATCCCATCATCTTTATTATCTGAATGAAATTATCAAGGCAGGGGCTCAGCTGGTTAAGCATCTACCTTAGGCTCAGGTCCTGGGATCAAGCCCTGCCTTGCTTGCCCTGCTCAGCGGGGAATCTACTTCTCCCTCTCCCTCTGCCTCTACCTACCTCTCCCCCTGCTCGTGCTCTCTCTTGCTTGCTCTCTCAAATAAATAAATTTAAAAAAAAAGAAATTATCAAGGCAGATACTGCAATAATGGTCATAAAACAATTAGATAATCGCATCAAGGAGTGTTTTGACAACTCTATTTGAAAACGTCTTTATTCAACTATATAATAACAATATCCCTCATACTGACTACCAAAAAAGAGTTCAAGGGCGCCTGGGTGGCTCAGTTGGTTAAGCAACTGCCTTCGGCTCAGGTCATGATCCTGGAGTCCCGGGATCGAGTCCCGCATCGGGCTCCCTGCTTGGCAGGGAGTCTGCTTCTCCCTCTGGCCTCCCCCCTCTCATGTGCTCTCTCTCATTCTCTCTGTCTCAAATAAATAAATAAAATCTTTAAAAAAAAAAAAGAGTTCAAAATGCCAGTTTACAGTAGGTCCATTATAAACAATCATTTGGATAATGGGGCTAAAAGTGAAGTGGATAAGAAGGAACTGAAGAATCTAAATGAGAGCTACAAGACTCAAAATTGCTAACTTTAGTCCTCTGTTCAATTCTGAGATAAAAAACTGACCTGGGAGGTGGAGGGGGATGAGGTGGAGATGGTGAGGGTCCCAAGTTTACATCATTCCCCACCTATACAAATACATAATGCTCCTCTCACAGCAGACACAATGTGAATACATACTATGTGTCAAGATACTTCAGCAAGGTAAAACATGCTTAGCTTCCTAAAAATGCACTATTTATATTTATTTTCATTACTGAGATGTAAGACATTCTATTTGCAAAAGTCCAAATTTCTAAATTATTTCCTCCTAAATTAAAACAAATATAAAGGCTTTCTTTGTATTTCTTAGTTAAAAAAAAACTGTTTGTTATAAGAAACAGTAGGATACTGTATTATTTCTACATTATAGTATCAGACAGTGGAAATAATCAGCATTAAAGCTTAAAAAAATCATTCTGGTAAGTCTTTTATCTTACTGATTAAAATGCTTACATATATAAAAAAAATCCTTTTTCTATAGAAGACTGTGACTCATGTTCTCAGAATGGCATCTTCACAGCAAAAGGAATCTGAGTTTTCTATTAATACCTAGATACTTTGAATTAACCATTAATGATTTAGTCTTATTTCATATGTATGTATAAGTACATATACATACATAATACATACATTTATGAAATACTTGCTCCAAAGAGTTTTGCAGTAGGTAATCAAACGAATTACTCAACCAAAGAAATCAACTATTACAGTAATTTAAAAAGAGAGCTGAGATCACACATACATCCAGTGCCAGTGCAGATTAGAACAAGAATTTATTTCCATTAGATCAGAAACTCCTTGAAGGTAAGAGATATAAATTCCTATGTTCTCTGTAGCATCGTGACCCTAAACAAAGGAAGGAAGAATGGTACAGTAATCACATGTCCAGTTTCTGAACCTGATTCCAATCAGTGGCTGATGTAATCAAGGGCAAGCCCCCTGACTTCTCTGAGCCTCTGTTCTTACTCATATGAGAGAATTGTAATAAATGATTTCTAAACTTCCTCGAACCTCTAAGATTCTATAATGGTTCTGGTTAATGGCTTAGGCACTATAATTTTACCTAAGAAAAACTTTATCCAATTTCCCTAAAAGACTATAAAATATGAAACCATCAGTAACTAAGGAAGGCATAAATACCACTGAGGTTTACCATTCACTCAGTTACTCATTTCCTCCAACATTCATTCATTCATTCAATAAATGTATACCCAGCATAAGTATGTGCCAAACATCTAGTAAGATGACTGTAGTTTTACCATTAGTCATTCATTTAAGAGAGAAGAAGGATATCTTTAAAAAGCAAAAAAAAATATTATAAGGGACCCTTCTTTCTCAAAAAAATTAAAGCCTTGGAGGATCTTTCCAAAAACCATTTCAAATGAGTGCACTTCCAATTGACTGACTCCTTCTCTAGATAGATAGATAGATAGATAGATAGATAGATAGATAGATAGATAGATAGATAGAAAGAAAGAAAGAAAGAAAGAAAGAAAGAAAGAAAGAAAGAAAGAAAAAAGAAAGAAAGAAAAGAACGAACCTCAGCAAGACTGAAATGTTAAGGGAGAAAGACTTTATAATTTAAGCTCAGTCTCAAATCCTGCTGAGTATGATTTTTATTATAAGTAGCAGTTCTTGTCATCATAATATATAATACCAGATGACATTCTCTTCTTGTTTTTCCAGATAATAAAACTTTCAAGTGTTTGAAATCAAAGCTTAACACAAAAGAAAAGACATGGTAGTCTTCTCCTTAATATATGATTCTTCTGTGCTTGTTTGTATCAACAACCTAGGAGTACCGAGTTATTAATTACACATTTCATGTAGGTTTTATTAAAAAAATTAAGAAGAAAGAAAAAAATAGTAAATTGTTTCTTTTGATCAAAAGTCCCCCACAAAGAATTTAAAGAATTAAGCAAGTGATAGCAAAATAAAAGGAAGGTCAAGTTTGGGGCCTATAGCAAACTAGATAGCTTCCATATGAACAACATATAAAGTTCAGTTTTAAAGAACATATGTGTTTGCTCATTGGTTTAAAAAAAAAAGAAAAAACCTTGAATCCTGTCTACTCCATATATACAGATCAAAATCAGATTGCTTAAGTGAACTATAAAATGCAAGAGAACATTGTTTATCCAAATCATAAACCCAAGAATTGCTGAAGGAGTTTAAATGTTTCTGTTTCTTCAGATTCCAGAGCAATACTTCAATGGTAGATCGCTTTTTTTGTAAACTGCTTCAAACTTCATAAACCCAATGTCAGATCCTGTTCTTTGCTATCCATGTCTATTTAATTTGCTCTCTCTGAATTGATTGTTCCTGAATCTTTAAAGGTATTTTTGGATATCTTAAACCCTGCTGAGATTTAAATGTCATCACCTTCAAACAACTTCCATCAAATAAATCTCTTATTAATTCACATCAAATTAATCCAAAATGATCACTTCTATTAACATATGCTTCAGAGCACAAAGCCCATTAATAGTCATCTGGACACGAGAAATAACCCAAGACTCTCTGAGATAAAATGTACATTATTTAGATATCCTCTTTCAAAGAGTTTTGATGTTGGCCCAAACATATTTTATTAGCCTTTTATTTCATCAAGCTATGCTCTCTATATTTCAAATATTTCATTTCAAATGTACCAGTCTAGGTAAAAAGAGATGGTCTGGTAAGTAAGTAATCATGTCAGATTTGCCAAAATGAGTCTCCATATATCCATACACATCTTAGAGAATTTCGTTAACCATTTTTACTTTTATATGAAAATTAGAAAACTGTTTTTTGCCTTTAAAAACTTTATGCTAGAAGTCTATTTGAAACTGTAGAAGGGGCACATGGGTGGCTTAGTTGGTTAAGTGTCAATGCTTGATCCCGCTCAGGTCATGATCTCAGGGTCGTGAGATTGAGCTGAGCACTGGGCTCCATGCTCAGCAGGGAGTCTGCTTGAGATTCTCTCTCTCCCTCTCCTCTCTGCCCCTCTCCCCCTCAAAAATAAATAAATCTTTAAAAAAAAAACCGTAGAATATATGTGAAAAAAATGAAGCACACACCTATTTCCCTAATTAAGGCAACAAAAATAAAGCAAGTATCCATCATGAGTTATCAAAAGGAAAGGGAAATTGATTATTTTTGCTTTCATAACAGGTGAGAGGCAAATGTATTACAAACTCTGCTTTGAATAAGATCACAATTTCACTAAGCAAATTAAGAAACGTTATCATTTGTTTCCTCACACGTATGTCATGTTTCCTTTTGTTTTCTTTCCTCTCAAGGGAAAAATAAAAAAATTAAAATAACGTACAATGACAACTGTTGGTTCAAACAGGCCAGTATGACTTTGCATGTGTGCACGGGCCAGACGTAACTTCATCCCTCTTCTTTGTTAAACTTAGACTATTTCACCTGGTTGATGGGCAAAGAGCCAAACATAGCACGTTAAGTTCAAAAAGAAGAGCTCATGGAAAAGTACAAATGCATCTATTTATCTTGATGGTTATGATAGGAATTGACATTTTATTTGTATGTAAATTAGATTTCCACGGATAACAAAAATAATGAGTGTTAAGATTTGTAGGAATGCCTTTAACTTTCTTTCCAGCATTTGCCAAAAAACATCTTTGTACATTAAAGGTAGTTTAATTTTAGTATATTGAT